GCCCTCTCTCGCAGTACCGTCTGCGCCTCCACAGACCACCGTCTCCACTCCTTCCCCGCCGCGACTACCGACGCGTCGAGCCGTTCGCTCAGCCCATTGCAGCGAGCAGCTTGCTACTCGCGAGGACGTTGTGTCCTCTCTTCTGGACTTGAGCATGCTCCAGGCTCGTCAGGAGCGACTCACCCTCCATTTCGCTGCACTGTGTCGCCTTCTCACCATCCTCTCTGACCCTGATCGCACCCTCCCGATCATCCCCGTACGACTCGGGACCTCCACGAGGGTGTACTCAGCGTTGTAGGATTCCGGTTCTCAGGGCGACTTCATTCACCCACACGTGGTGAAGGAAGCCCGCTTACCCACGATAGGGTCTCCGACTTCCATCTTCGTTACCCTAGGGGATGACAAGGCCCAGCGCTTCTTCGATCAGACGGTTACCGACCTCCCCTTCTTCCTCACTCTCGAGCCGACTGATCGTTCCCCGGCGTCTCATCGCCACCGCTGCTCTGCACATTTCGATGTGATGGAGACGGGGTACGACTTCATTCTCGGCACTCCGTGGTCTCGTCGGTTTCGCAGCACCGAGGCCGATTGGGCGACCAACACTCTTGTTCTCAAAACGAAGTGTGGACAGACGTATCGCGTACCTTTCATAGGTATCACGGCGACATCACGCCCCGATCCTCCTCCCCTGGACCCTTCAGTGCCCACACCATCTCCCTCTATCACTGTCACCTCGCCTCGGCAGTTCGCTCACTTCATTCGACAGGACGACGTCACCTTCTTTATGGTGGACGTGACGGATCTCTTATACTATGATCCACCCTGTCCCGACGCTGAGCTCATCCCTCTGGAGCTAGATCCTCCCTCTATCTCCATGGCACCCATCTCTACTTCCGTCCCTCCGCCGTCCGTCGAGTCCACACCGCTGTCGCGCGCTGACGCTGACGCTGAGGAACTCGCACAATATACGGCTGACTTGGAGCCCGCAGTTCGTGACCTCATCCGAGAGTACCACGACGTTTTCCCATTGTCGTTCTCGTACGCTGGCATCCCACCGATGCGTGACGTCGAGCACTCCATTCAGCTTGTGCCTGACTATCGTGTTCACCACCAGGCACCTTACAGACTCTCGATCCCCGAGGCCACCGAACTCAAGCGTCAGCTTGAGGAGCTCCTTAGACTGGGTTTCATTAAACCCAGCAACTCCCCGTGGGGTGCACCCGTCCTCTTTGCTCGCAAAGCGGGCGGAACTCTCCGTCTCTGCATCGACTATCGAGGTCTCAATCGCTACACGATTAAGAACAACTACCCCATGCCTCGTTCCGATGAGCTGTTCGACCGCCTAGCAGGCAACCGCTTCTTTACGAAGATTGATCTTCGTAGCGGTTACCATCAGATCCGCGTCGCTGCAGCCGACCAGCCGAAGACAGCGTTCCGATCGCGCTTCGGCCACTACGAGTTTACGGTGATGCCATTCGGCCTCACCAATGCACCCGCTACCTTTCAGAGGGCGATGAACGACATCTTCAGGGACATCCTGGAACAGTACGTTCTCGTTTACCTCGACGATATCCTGGTCTACAGTCGTACCCTTGAGGAGCACCTCAGACACCTCCGTGACGTCCTTGACCGCTTGCGCAGACATGGCTTATACGCCAAGCTGAGCAAGTGTCGCTTTGCCCAGCACAAAGTGGATTACTTAGGACACTACGTGTCTGACCAGGGTCTCCACATGGACGATGCGAAGATCATTGCTATTGCGGAGTGGCCCGCCCCCACATCCGCCAAGCAGCTTCGCAGCTTCCTAGGCCTGACCAGCTACTATAGTAACTTCATCCGGGGATACGCTAGGTATTCCTACGTCCTTACCTCCATCCTCCTCCGGAAGAACCCACCCTGGGCTTGGACACCCCTCCACGAGGACGCCTTCCGCGCCCTCAAGAAGGCGGTCACATGCGCACCGGTTCTTCACTTACCCGATTTT